GGAGGTGCCTTCCTCCCCCTCCGGTCCTCGGCCTTTGTCGACCCCTCCACTGCCAGAGGCTTCCCCCAAAGACTGTGTGGCTCCCTCCCTTCATTTTATTTTATCTTCTCGCCCTGTCGCCTGCCTGGAGAACAGTGGTGCAGTCATAGCTCACTGCAGTCTCAAACTCTTAGGCTCAAGCGACCCTCCAACCTCAGCCTCCTGAGTAGCTGGGACTACAGGCACGAACTACCACTCCAGGCTTGTTACTTGTTTTATTTTTTGTAGAGAGGAGTCACGCTATTTTGCCCAGGATAGTATTAAACAAAAGTGATCCCGCCTCGGCTTCCCAAAGTGTTGGAATCACAGGCATGAGCAAGCCAGCCGCGGTGGTACACGCCTGTAGTCCCAGCACTTTGGGAGGCCGAGGCAAGAGGACTGCCTGAACCCAGGGGTTCGAGACCAGCCTGGGCAACTTGGCGCGACCTCGTCTCTACAATAAATCAAAAAATTAGCAGGTTGTGGTGGCGCACGCCTGTAGTTCCAGCTGCTTGTAAGGCTGAAGCAGAAGTATCCCCTGAACCCAGCAGATCAAGGCTGTGGCGACAGTGAGCGTCCCACTGCACTCCAGCCTGAGTGACAAAGTGAGACTCAAACTAAAAAAAAAAACCAAAAAACTATACAGGCATGGGCCACTGCACCCAGCCATTTCTTTGCCTCAAACTGAGACGTCCCTACCCAGCATCAGTGAATTAACATTAGCTCCTTTATTGCTGTGGCTCTAGCAAGGGGAGCATCCACACTATCTGAATGTGTAGACTACTACCTGCCCATAGGTGGTTGTGCAGCAACATGATATGTTTAAATGAATGAGGCGGTGTACAAAAGTATACACTAAGATGCATGCAAAAACACTGAAGAAGGATAATTAGAATATATTTAGATGGTGGGATTGAGAGTGATTCTTCTCTGTGTCCAAACTTTCCCTCCTGTGCCTAATGCTCACCAGTACCACCTTTCTCCTCTTTTCATCACACTGCTGGGCCACCCCAGCTGAGGTTTCAGCTAATCTGTGACTGAGCTTTTATGAGTAAAGTGGTGTGTGCCATTTCCCAGCCCTGCCTCTACTTTTTGTGATCTCCTTGAGAGGTTACTCTGAAGACTCTATGCCCAAGAAGCTGCTGACAACTAGATGGAAAGAGTATGGGCCCCAGAACCCCCACCTGGCACCCCCACCCCACATCCTTGACTCCTGAGACTCAAAGTTGTTGGTTAAGCAAGAAATATAACCTGACCAATGGGGCAGTACTCTGATTATTTAAAATATATTTTAAAGATATGTTCCCTTTTGTGAACTCTTCCCCCAAGCCCCAAATATTGCAAACTAGAAGCTTTTGTTGTTGCCAGTTGCTCATTATACAAATTCAACCCATACAAGATCATAGTTTCCCACCTCCACGGGGTGCAGGACTGTTATTGTCTTGTTCTTATTCACCTTTGAGTTCAAAAGGTAGTAGTTTGGGTAAATCCTTCCTGGCCCTATTTAATGCTTAATGAAAAGACAAACACACATAAAAACACACTACTCACATTTTCTTGTCCAAGTGGCTAAGGTTTTTTTTTTAATTAATAGATTTTATTTTTTCTATCAGTCTTAGGCTCACAAAAAAATTGAACAGCAAGTACAGAGTTCCCATATACCCTCTACACACAGTTGCCCTATTATAAACATTTTGAATTAGTGTGGTACACTTGTTACAATTGATGAGACAACATTGATACCTAGATATTAACCAAAGTCAGTAGTTACACAGTCTGTAGGTTTTGAAAAATGCATAATGTAAGTATCCTCCATTACATATCACACAGACTAGTTTCTTTGACCTAAAAAATTATCTGTGCTTCATTTATTCATCCCTCTCTCCTTACCCCCAAACCCTCTGGCAACCACTGATCATTTTACTGTCTCTATCGTTTTCTTTTTCCAAAAGGTCATATAATTGGAATCATACTGTATGAGTCTTTTTAGACTGGCTTCTTTCACTTACCAATATGCATTTAAAGTTCCTCCATGCTTTTTTTGTGGTTTAATAACTCATTTCATTTTATTTTTTGAGACAGGGTCTTACTCTGTCACCCAGTCTGGAGCGCAAAAGCATAGCTCACTCTAACCTCAACTTCTTGAGCTCAAGAGGTCCTCTTGCCTCAGCTTCCCAAGTAGCTGGGACTATAGGCTTGCACCACCATGCCCAGCTAATTTTTTATTTTTGTAGAGGTGGGGGTCTTGCAATGTTGTCCAGACTGGTCTCGAACTCCTGGGCTCAAGTGATCCTCCCACTTTGGCCTCCTAAAGTGCTGGGATTACAGACATGAACCACTGCACCCACCTCATTTCTTTGTAATTTGAGAAGTATTCCAATTTATGGATGTACCACAGTTTATCCATTTACCTATTGAAGGGCATCTTGGTGCTTCCAAATCTGGTCAATTATGAATAGAGCTGCTATACTCAATCATGTGCTGTTTTTCATAGTTTTCAACTCTTTTGGGTAAATACCGAGAAGGGCAATCACTGGATTGTATGGTAAGAGTATGTTTATCTTTGTAGGAAACTATCAAACTGTCTTTCAAAGTGGCTGCACCGTTTTGCTTTCCCACCAGCAACAAATGAGAGCTCCTGTTGCTCCACATTCTCACCAACAGTGTTGTCAGTGTTCCGGATTTTTTTTTTTTCCTGAGTCAGAGTCTCACTCTGTCACCCAGGCTGGGAGGCGGTGGCATGCTCATCGCCTTGACCTGCTGGGCTCAGGCAATTCTTTCACTTCAGCCTTCCATGTAGCTGGAACCACAGGCGTTTGCCACCACACCTGGCTAATTTTTTAAATTTATTATAGAGGTGAAGTTTTGCCAGTTGCTCAGCCTGGTCTCAACCCCCTAGGCTCTTGAAACCCTCTCACCTCTGCCTCCCAAAATGCTGGGATTACAGGCATGAGCCATTGTGCCCGGCCTGGATTTTGACTTTTAAAAAATATATAATTTTAAAATAGAGAATGGCTCCTGCTATGTTGCCTAGCCTGGCCTCCCATCTGGAACTCCTGAACTCAAGCGATCCTCTGGCCTCAGGCTCCCTAGTAGCTGGTATTACCAGGTGCATGCTACCACGCCCAGCTTTGGCCATTCTAATAGGTGTGTAGGGGGTATTTCATTATTGTTTTCATTTGCAATTCCCTAATGACATGTGACACTGAGCATCTTTCCTAGGTATATTTGCCATCTGCATATCTTCTTTGGTTAGGTGTCTGTTCAGACTTTTTGACCACTTTTTAATTGGGTAGTTTTCTTGAGTCATACTATCATTTTTCTATTACTTACATTTTTTACATAATACTCTTTGTGAACCATGTTTTTCTCAACCTACTTCATCCTGTTGACAGACATATTTCATTGTGTCAGAGCATCATACTTTAACAAACTCCTTAATGATATACACTATTTTGTTTGTTCCAATTTTTCATTACATAATACTCTGGTGAATGTACCTATGCATATTGTATGTGCCTGTCTGTTCCAGTTATCTATAACTGTCTGATAAATACCTGAAAACTTAGTGGTTTAAAAGAACCATCTTAATCAGGCATGGTGGCTCAAGTCTATAATCCTAGCACCTTGGGAGGCTGAGGCAAGAGGATTGCCTGAGCTCAGGGGTTCAAGACCAGCCTGAGCAACATGGCAAGACCTCGTCTCTACAATAAATAAATAAATTAGCCGGGCATGGTGGCACATTCCTGTGGTTCCACCTTGGAAGGCTGAGGCAGAAGGATCACCTGAGCCCAGTAGATCGAGGCTACAGTGGCTGGGAGCATGCCACTGTACTCCAGCCTGGGTAACAACATGAGACTCTGTCTTTTAAAAAAATTTTTTTAAAGAGCCATCTTATTATATCTCTCAATTTGAGTTAGGAATTTCAGTAGGGTTCACCTAAGTGATTCTTCTGTACAATGTGATAGAACAAAGATCACTGGGCTGGCCAGAAGGCTGCATTCAACTGGCACCATGAACCAGAACACCTACCTGTGGCCTGTCCATCACAGCAGTCCCTGTAGCAGTAGGGCTTTCACAGCTGCTTAGGGCTTCCAGGGAGTTCCAGAAGATCCAGGTGGAAGCTGCAAGACTCTTGTGACCTCACCTTGGTAACTCCAAGACATCACCTCACTACATTCTATTGGGCAACGAAGTCACTGGGACCAACGCAGACTGAAGGGGAGAATTAAATTCCAACTTAACAATGGGAAGAGTAGCAAGGATTGTCACCATTTTTAATCTACCACATTGTTTCATAAGTTCTTTAGGATAAGTTATTAGAAATAGGCTGCCTTAAAGACTATACTTTCAGGGATCATTTCGATAGTTCATTACTAGTGAAGTTTCT